CTTGTTTATGAGATTGTATTTTCATTTGCTTTTTCTGCCCTTTCTCCATCCTCCCATTTCCTCTGTTACCTTTATTTCGTTTTGTTCATTATTTTTTGGTACTGGGAATTGAACCAAGGATGCTTTACCACTGAGCTACATACCCAGTCCTTTTATTTTATTTTTTTTTTTTTTGAGACAGGATCTTGCTGCATTGCTGAAGTTGTCCTGAATCTTGCCATCCTCCTGCCTCTGCCTGCCTGGAGGCTGATATGACAGATTTATGCCACCGTGCCTATCTCCTCCTCTTACCTTCCACATTGAATCGTAATTGATGTAGGAATTGAGAAGGAACAACCAGCCAAGGGAACCTGTCACTCACTCTGTTATCATGTAACGTCAATGTTTTTGCTTTCGTCTTGGAACGTCTTTCTTTCTTATAATGAGGAGTTTCACAGTTACGGTTTACAGATTTTTTTTTTTTTTACATCTGTGCATGGGACGTAATTATAAAACTTCAGAGTTAAGACATGTGTGTTGTACTTCCCGAGGCAGAGAGATGGAGCTTGGGAGTGCTTCTGTGTGAGAGACAGAGGAAGTTTGGTGGCTAAGTACTTCCTCAGCGCGTGACTGAGACTCTTGTTCCAGCTCAAGGAAGGAAAAAAAAAAAAAAAGGTCTTCAGAATATAATACTGAATTAGTTTATTCATCTCCTCTATGGAAATGAGGCCAGGAAGCAAATTAAAATTACAAGAGGTTGCAAAAAAGAATGATTTTGCTTAATGCCCAGGCAGGGGCCTACTAGCTTCTATGATTTTAACCTTTTAGGCATCCTCTTTGGAGCTGATTCTGCTTACAGGCCATGGGTGATCCCATTGAAATAATTTACCGAGACGCCCACGTTCTTTCCCCAGGTCCCCACTGTGCTAAGTGGCAACTGATGAGAGATCTGTCATGTTTGGAAAATACCGTGAGGCCACATGTTAATTTCATACCTGTCAAGAGATCTTGCATGAGGTCCCTTGGGGCCCTTCAGTGTGTCACAGTACTGCAGGCATTCGTTAGTGCCTTTCAAAGCAGTGACCCGTGGCCAGGAGATCTTGTCCTAACATATGGTGACACCTGTCAACAGACTTCATGATTGGCATAAAATTAACCTGTTTTCCTATAGATTTGCGGGGTTTTTTTTTTTTTTTTTTTTTTGCATTATCTGTGAAAAAAAGATGAGAAGAAATTATATTTGGAAGCAATTTACTATGACTTTTTCAAGGAGAATCATGTGGAATTGGTAGACTTCATAGCATCTTTGCAGAGGTATTCAGTAAAGGAACTATTTTAAATGTATTGGTATAGCCATCTGTGGACATCATGTAGGATGGAATGCTTCAGTGTCTGAACTCTGTCAAGTCTAAGAAAAGAGCAAGTCGTGGCATTGGGTCTTGTAGAAGAAACACCCAAGAAACTTGGGTTTTCCAAATGACTTTGCCCTGGTCTCGTCAATATTTTAAAAGCATCTCTGAGATTCCTCTGATTTCTCTGTTTCTGATGCTTACACCTTGTTATTCTAATGAGGACAAGAGAAAAGGAGATCTATAAAATGAAAGTATTCAGAACTATGACAGATATCTGAGAAAAATGGATTAATTGTATCTTTTTTTAAAAAAAATTTATTTGTTCTTTTTAGACATTCACAACAGTAGAATGTATTCGGACCTATTTTACATACATGGAGCATCACTTATTCTAATTAGGATCCCATTCTTGTGGTTGTACGTGATGTGGAGTTTCACTGTGATGTAGTCATATAGAAACACAAATCCTTGGCAATTTAGCAGTTACTTTTCAGGATAAGAACAGAGAAGAAAGTACCTAACATTTATCTGTGCCTTCCCACTTCTGTAAAATAGGAAAAAACAAACAATCAAACAAAAATCATCATGGAGACATTATCAGGTGCTTTGCCTCTGTGTATTAATTTTGGATCTTCTGCCACATCTTTTTTTTTTTAATATTCTTAGCATCTTAAAATATTTGAATTCAGGGGGAAGCTATTTCCTATAGCTGGTCGCTTCTTAAGTTAAATGCCTCTCTGTAAGTTCTGATATCCCAACACAATAGAGAACAAAGATAAATTTAGTCGTCTTTTTTTCCTTTTCTCTGCCCACCGATTCTCAGAAATAAATGGTGGTATTCTTCTCTGATCTGAACTGTTTGCTCTGAATCCCAGAGTAATCAATTTTTCCTGGCATTTCTTAAATGGTCTTTATTATTCCGTGAATTCCCTTCGAAAATACAAACATTAGTCCTTGTTCTTTGGTTTTAGAAATTGATGGCTGCTGTGCTTTGAAGGCATCGTGGAGTTGGGATGATGGAAGGGGTTAGCACCAAAGCCAAGTTCAAACAAAGGAGGCCGAGAAAATGGTACCCGGACAATGGGAACCATATTCAAGAACCATGAGGTGTGATCTGCAGCCGGCACTGGGGATTTAAAGACTGCTTAGTCTTGATTAATAGCAGCCATAAAAATAAAATGCTGAGCCAGGGAAAAACAAAATTGCTCTTGAGAAGTTACTTGAAAATGTGTTAATGCTTTGACTTGATGAGCATTTTTTTTTCCTCTCCTCCAGACTGGGTATAAAATCATTGCATGAAAATATGGATTTTTCACACGTTGCTCAGTCTTTATTTTTTAACTGCTCATTATAGCGGTGTTGGGATAAAATCAGGTTTCCACTAGCCACAAAGAAAATAGAAAAGTTAAGAAAAGAACAAAATGAATAAAACAAGATCTAGGAAGAGGCTCTATTGTGGTGTCTGTATTTTTGGAGGCGAGGTTTTAGGTAACACTTCTGAGAAATCAGGATCAATATAAAATGTAAGATAAAATACAATGTTTGAAAACCTTCTTTGTAGACCAAGAACTTTTATTTTAATATGTAATGCCATCATATGGCAATTTTTAATCTAAAACAATGGGGTTTTTGTGAGGGTTTGTTTTCAGCAGGCATGTGCTGATAGGCACAGTATCTGCCATGGTTTAGGGAAGTGTTCCCTGTAGGCCCACCTGTAGGCTTGGTCCGCAGCCTGGCACTACTGTTTGGTAGTAGTACCTTTGATAGACAGGTCCTAGGGAGGGTCCTTAGGTCACTGTGGACATGCTCTGGAAGGGAATTGTGGGACCTTAGTCTCAATCTGTTTCCTGGCTCCTGATGTGAGCAGTTTGTTCCCCACCAGGCTACCCAGCATTGCCATCTGTTGTGCTCATTAGAGGACCAAAGCCATAGGTCCACACCGTCTTAGACTTGAACTTCCAAACCTGTGAGCTAAATGAACATTCTTTTCTTCTGGAGTAGCAGGCCTCAGGTATTTCGTTATGGTACTGGAAAGCTGACCAATGCAGTATCTAACTCATTTTCCTAAGAAAATGCATTAAAAAATTAAAAATGTCTTCTCCAAAAGGGGGAAAATTATGTGAATGTTTTTTATTATAAACAACACCCAAGGACCCACAAAATAATTTATACAAAAACAAAAGTTCGGGAACATTTTTATTACTGGTGAAGATCAATTCCACATCGTTTCTGTCATTTTTACTACTCTACAAAGAGTGAGGAGGTTCTACAGCTGTAAAACATCCCCTTCATCACCACCAACTGAATAACTTTAAGAGAAGGAATCAATGAAGAGTAAAAAGATAAACCAGGAGAAAATTTGCTTATTGGTTGGGTGGTTAATTTAACAAATATTCTTGTGTCATGGGAGTAAAATATAGTAAATTTTACTCCCTTATCTTAGGGAGTAAAGAGCTTATAGTAAACTCACACACACACACACACACACACACACACACTCTCTCTCTCTCTCTCTCTCTCTCTCTCTCTCTCTCTCTCACACACACACACACACACACACACAATCGATGGTATCACAATCTCTAACCCCTTGGTTCTTAGTTGGGGTGATTTTGTCCCCAACTGGACATCTAGTAACATCTAGAGATGTTCTTGATTGTCATGGCTTGCAAAACTGGTTTCTGAGGGTGGATCCCAATGATTATTGCAAATCCTCCTGGGTGCCCAGGATATCTTCACCCAAGGAGTTGTCCCATGTAAAATTTCAGTAGTGCTCAGGCTGAGCAGCAACTGTTGTAGGTACCTTGATCTTCCTACTAATTGTACAGTCGGAACTCACTTCTTCCCTGACTGCTCACCACGAAGATGCCTAGGAGCTTGGGAGTTTATACAACTTCAAGAGCACAACTGGAAGCGTCCTTACATCTCAGCATCCGGGTCCTGTGCTATCTTTGTTCTGGTTTCCTTTCACCTTTACCATTTTGCCCTGCTATTACACTTTCATCTCAAAGTTACCTAGTCACCTCCAACACCCTCTCTTCTCAATCATGAGGAGACATATGGGGGTCAGTGTGGTTCTGTGCTACCAGTGCCCAGGGGCCTTCTCTGGCTGATAGTGCACCTCGGGTTTTGCTGCTGCTGCCAGACTTTCCTGAGTCTCAGTGGTAGCATGTGTCCAACTCAGCCATGGTTCATTGGGTACGTTACCTTGGCTGGCCGACGTTGCCTAGGTTTGTGGTCAAAAATCAATCTGGATGCTTCTGTGAAGTTTCTAGTTGTTTTTGTTTGAAGAGGTTAACATTTAAATTGGCCACCTTTGAGTAAAGCCAATTGCTGTCCATGATGAGCGTTAGCCTGGTACAATCAGTAGAAGGACTTCAGAGAACAAGGACAGACTTCTCCTACTCAGGCAAGTTCTGCCAACAGACAGGATGCAAAAGTGGCCCTGTGGCCTTCTGGCCAATGATTCCTGTGTCTTCTTTCAGAAACCCATGAAGATCTACGCGGCTCCATGTTTTGTATTTCCTCACGGATAGTCTGCCTAGTTGTGAAGTTGGTAACTGCTGTTACTGAGTAGTCTATTTATCCATTCAACTCATCGGTTTTTACTTGGTATAGCTTAGGAATATATGTTGTGAGGTGCATGTATGTTCATAATTATTTTATCTTCCCGATGAGCTAGATTGTTCGTCTTTTTTAAAAATGTCTCGTTGGCTCTCACACAAGTTTTTGTCTTTATTATAGTCCATTTCATCAAATGTCAGTAGAGATGAAGCAAAATGTTTTGGTTACTTTTCCAAGATTTCTCATTCCTCATTTCCTGACTTCAATCGATAAATGTCCTTGAATCTGAAATTGATCTCTTCTAGATGGCATCAAACCGGATCATGTCCTTTATTTTTAAGTATTCTGTCAATCCCTGATTTTAATTAGAGTGTTTAATAAATTAATCCATTTTCATTTAATGTCATTACTGATACGGTAGAATTGATGTCTGGTATTTTTGCTCTTTTTCCCTCTGCATCTCTGTTTTTCTATTGGTCCGTTATTCCTTTGTGTCGAATAAATGTTTTCTAGTATGTCACTTTATTTCCCTTACTGTTTATTTTAATGTGTTTAAAAAAAGCTTGGTAGCTTCCCTAAGGATTACCCACTGGTGTAAGGGCGTTCTTTCCTTCTTCAATCATAATTTGCATTATGAAAATCAACATTTAGTGGTGTTTAATAATAGTTAGGTTTGTTGGAGGAATGGATATATTGGCACATGTTGTTGGAATGTGCACTCTCTTGTTTATTGATTCACCCACTCAGATATTGTTCAACACACATATGTCGCACGCCTGTTATGAGGCAAAGTCATTTCCAATTAGTGGGTAGACAGTAGAGAAATACAAGTTCCTGTTCTGATGGAACTCAGAGGCTTTTGGTGAGCCTTAAAGAACAAGTAATTCAGCCCAAGATGCCACTAAGAGTTTTTTTTTTAATAAAGCAGAGAGTTGTGAGGACCGACATTAGGTTATTGCACAAGGAAGGTCTTTCTGAGGAGACATTTAAGGTGAAGACTGAATAATAAGAGGACAGCAAAGCAAAGATGTGAATGAATTATTAATGAAAATTGTCTCATTTTTTTATGACACACACCTACAGTTCACCATGAAAGTGCAAAGAGAGGGTCATTTGGGGGCATTCTGATTTACTTATCTACCTATGCCTGCAAAAAATACCAAGAGTATTTATGCAGAAAGTTTTAGGAAGTGTTTTTAATCGCTTGAAAAGTCTGTCTTCCTACTTTTTACGTTTTTTAATGGGTCCGTTCAGCCCTACCAATGTAAAGGCATTAAGTCTTGTAATAATGCCATAAAGCAGATGAACCATTAAAAAGCTAATGTGCGATATGAAGACCTCACAGCATTCTATGTGACAAGAAATGAAAATTGTTCAGATAATAGCACAAGTATGATTTCTGCCGTCATGGCAGGAAAGTTCTGGTTTGATACATATATAGGTTGAAAAGGAAGGAGAATAATGTTTACTTATCTTTATTTTGTTTCTCCAACCCCAGCTGGTCCAAGGACAGGAGTCAGATTAATTGATTTTGCCATAAATTTTAATTGGGTTGAGTTACCCATTGAACACGGGCAGGCTGAATAAACTGGGTTGTATTTTACATAAATTATATATACCTGGGGTATAGAAAACTGCAAACTTCTGATTTATGGGTTCATTTATAATTCTATTGGAAATAGATAATGGAATCAAGTATAAAATAAATCAGAAACCATTGTGTCATTCTTTTGACCAATCAAATAATATATTGAAGATTTTTACACTCTTGAATGTCTCCCAGTAACTTGAAATTACTTGGCACATAAGGTAAACAGCAAATGTTTGTTGAACAATGTTTGAGTGGATGAATTAAGGGACAAGAGAATGAATGTTTGGAAAAACATATTTGTACATGCTACCATTCATCAAATAAACTTTGCTTTCATTAATCATTGTTAAATGTGGAAGTCCCGCATAAAGAAATTCGCGTATATTTCTCTAGTAAAAGTAGGCTTATCTCCTGGAAGTAAAGGATCTTTGCAAGCCTGGAATATTAATTAGACTCATGAATCCATGATGGCCTCTTCAAGTTTTATTCTAAGATGCTGGACCAAGTCACAACTGGAGTTGTAGGTCAAGCGTCTTGATGAAATGCAAAATGTTGTAAAGGAAGGAGATGAATTGCAAAGTAAGATAGTTCTGTGCAGAGGATACATCATTAAGAGCATTTCAGTGACATCTCATGAAGTCCTGCCTACCTTGTCCTCTACAAATACCATTGGAATTTAAAAGGCCCAGATAAACCAATGCACATTCTTCCACTGCTTAATGGGGACTGAGTACAAAACTCAGGACTGTGAATTTGGTACACGATTACACGAATCAAGGAAGCCAGAGAAGAGAATCGTTTCAACAGTTCCTTCGTGGTATTTTCTAACATAGTAATCAAAAAATCACAGGCCCATAAGCCTCCTTGTCCTCTGGAGAGGGGAGCCTGACTCCTCCCCAGATGTGCAACAGCAGGGAAAGATTTCCACTCTACCTGAGTTTAGTCAGCTGTAAAATGGGGGGTACTAAGGGTTTTCTTCCAGCATGTTCTTATTCAATGAAGCACTCTGCAGAGCATGCACATAACACAGGCAGCACTCCATACAGA